GACATAACTTTAGCACATAGTGGCAGACGGAGGAGGAAACGAGACCGACCCTGTGGGTACTTTCTGTTGCGTGATAAAATGCACCGCTGCGATATGTTAGTTCTGCTGATATGGTTTCATGTAAAATGTGTTCTTGCGGCAACTAACATCCACTCGTGCTGAGGTCAGGGTAACACCGGCCGATGATGTCATAAATAGCGATTCCACCCTCCCTCGTCGTTGTTAAGTGAGATCTCTCTCGGTCGAACCCCCTATCACTGCATGAGGCTCAGTTCGGTTTACTTGAGGAAAATGTAAGTGTGTACCTTTGAACCCCCTAGTTGTTTACATACACGTTGTGATATCAACAAAAAAATTGTTTATGTACCATTAAATAAAAGGGAGTGGGACAAATCTGTTCAGGTGAACGAAACGAAATAGTCACACAAAATCTTACGGAGAAAGAGCAAATTTGTGCAATAGTTACTTCGGAAATAGTACTTCGGCTTATTAGCAACGTCAAATGATACGGGCCAGTGAGGTGGAACAAAAGCAAACAAGAGCAGACAATTTTTAAAAAAAGACATTTGGGCATTTTTCGAAAACCATAAAAATTTGATTGGGATTTGTTTACTTTTTAGGAGAGAAAAGAAATCTCGCTCCCATTAAACTTTCTGCAGTCTCCGAAGAATTACCAGGCAGTTTTTTTCTTTTTCAGAGGTGTAAAACCCACCAATTAGAAGCTGGGTTAAGAGGCTCTGAAAGCTGCCTCTCAGCTAGGTTAAGTTTGCCAAATGAAGTCGAAAAAAGGAATGCACTCACATCTTCTGTAGTCACCTTGTTCCCCATTCGTAAGAATGTCAGGCTACCGGGTTTGTACTCATAGTTGGGAACGCCACTAAAATAATAATAAAAGAACAAAACCACAAATGATAGGCCTGGGGGACAGAAGCGAAGATTTATCGGTAGAAATTAAAGTCGTAAATGATCAGAGAGAAGTAACCCGTTCCTAACTCCTTGTTTAAAACGAGAGGTCAGCAATTAAGCTTACCGTTGAGTGATCCGTGAGCCGCCGGGGGCCGATGTTGAGCCGGAAGTAGAGGGGTCACAGGAGCGACCATCTAGGCGGATACCAGAGCCTCCAAAGATCTAAAGGAAAATGCGATTTCTATCATCGAAACTATTGAAGGGAAAATGCACTACCGGCAAAACTTCGGATATTCTGACAGAAATGAAGATAAGGCAAGAGAATTTAGGGGACAACTTGACGCAGGTCGATGATTAATCGACGTGGAAGGCGAGGTTTAGTCCATAAGTAGGTATCAAGAAGGCAGTGGAACAAGAAAACCCTTGTAAGTCCAGTTAACTGATCGCTTGAAACGATTGGGTGCTATCGACTGTAGAAGTAGGCGGAACATTGAGTGACTTAGGCCTGTGGCACCTCAAGCGCGTGTGAGCCTTTCGTCTCTGGTACATGCGTCGTGGCTTTTGAGCAGATGGAAGACGCGCTTCGAGGCAAGTCAATCAAGGGGTGCTCACAGACCCTAGTCACACTATTGTGATGGCACTGATTGAAAAAAACGTGAAATTTGAACCCCTCTTCCCAGCATTCCTGTGGATCGATACCCAAGGTCCAGACCTGGTGACGCGTCGGTGGCTCTGACTGTCATTCGGCAAATGTACGGAATACATGCCTTTAACTTGTCTATCCTGTTTTCCGAAATGCGACTGAAACATAGTTTTGGTT